CCGACCGAACATATCTGTCGCATACTGTGTCGGTACATACCGACAGACCATCTGTCGTAAATTATCTATCGTTTTCCGTCGTGATTCTGTCGCAAATACGTGCGACAGAGATAACGGTCGCAAGCGGTCGGAAATTTGCGACAGATTTTGCGTCCAAGTCCGACAGAGATATTTTTCCGAGATTGTGTCGCTTTTTAGTCGCGGTCTGTCGCAAATTTAGTTGCGACTGAAAGTTCGGTCGCAACAGGTGTCGCAAATTTCAGTTTTTCTTGTAGTGATGGATTCTATCTTCCAAGTATATGCCAGTGCTTTTCGACAGATGGCAGCAACTTTACGGCAAGACAAGCCAGACTTACCATCAGAAATATCACAAAGATGTTTCTTTGGGTGATTTTTGAACTGATTTTGATTTTGTTCTATTCATCTTTTGTTTGCCGTCAACCGGAAAAATTATTAACAAGTAGGTCAGACAGATTCCGATCCCAAAGTCTATTTTGGTTATTTTGGTTGTTCACCTTTGTATTGGTGGAAAACTTGTTGTTTATGTTATATATTTAAGTAATGAAATACCACATTTTGTCAAAAAAAAAAAACACGTTCTTTATGCCTTGTGAATTATAAACATATGGTTACAAAACTGATAATATATAAAGGCATGAAGAGATTAAAGAAACGCTTACTCGAATGTTGAAATCCTCCAATAGATTTACTTATATAATAAAAGTTGTCTAATAAATTTACTTTAGTGTAAAAAGAGATACCGTACCTTGTAGAAAAAGAGGGAAAGAAGTCAACTTTCAACCAATGATTTGATGAATGTATTTTTTATTCATACTACTTTTTTTTGTCATGGTTGATAAAAAAAATGACAAAAAAAAGAATTATATGTAAAACGTTTCACATGGATAATGAAAATACTCAAAACGTAGATGGTGGATGGATTCTATGCATGTTAGGTTTTCATTTGCATATAATTTAACAAATAAATATGTTATAAAAAAAACATATAAATATATATACATATTTCATATCACCACATCCTAACCTCTTGAATAATTAATAAACGCAATTTTACAAAATTGAAGTTCTAGATTTCAAACGCACGTTACCAACTTCTGTAGTTAAAACTAGGGCATTTTGGTATTCGACTCGGGTTCGGTTCGAGAATCATTCGATTTAAAAAAAAAATATACCAATCGATTAATACTTTATATTCGCTTCGATTCGCTTTCGGTTTCAGTTCGATTATATTTCGGATTTTATTAAAAAAATATAATTTGTTTTTCGAATTTTTAAAAATTCGGTTCGGTTTTAAAAATTTTGGGTTTCTAAAAAATAGCTTTTGAAAATTTTAAACGGTTCAATTTGTGAAAAATATAGTATTTTTGCTCACTAGATAAAACCCTATGAAATAACGAGCTAATTCGTTCCATTTTTTTTAATTGAAGTGAGAATCAAAACCAAGGACAATTAAGAGACCTCCAAATCAAGCAAATTAAAAAAAAATACATAAATGAAAAAGGAGAAATCAAATCGAAATATTGGGAGAAAAAAAAAGTAAACCATTACAGAGACAATGATCAATTTGGTGTATTGTATAACGTATGCAATTCGAAATAAATAATAATAATAATATAGTTTGGGGATGTAATTGATAAATCTAATAGTTCAAGAAAAATCTGTTAATTTTGAAAAGGTTTTTATACACAAAATAAAAGTAAGAATAAATTTAAATCTCTCTATTCTTCTCTCTTTGGTACGCATTATTACAGGCATGCTCCCTCTCTCTCGTCATCTCTCTATCATATGTATGCACTTCTTCTTTATTTTATTCTTTTATATTATTATTATTATTATTATTATTATTCTTAAATATCATCATCATCATCATCTTCACCGTACTTCTTCTTCTTCCTCTAATTATAATTATTATTATTATTATTATAATAATCATTATTATTATTGTTATCGTTATTATTATAGTTTCTATTATTCTCTTTCTCTCTCCATATTACGTATTAGATCTTTTCGATTCTATAGTTCCAAAAAAAATGATGATGATTTAATTGAGTATAATTATAATTAAGATTATTGTATATTAAATAATTATAGGTGAAGAAAATCTTGAGATTGTTGAACCTGGGACCGAGGATTAGAGCAGATCTTCCGGGTTCATCGTTTAGACCGAGGTGAGGGAACTTGACAGAACTCCTCTTTCTTCTATTCGCTTAGACATGATGATAGAGAACGTAGATATCATGCGGTTAGGACTTTAGGATAGACGCCTTAAATTTTCTTACGAATTTATGATGTATGTTGATTGTTGATTGTTGATTGTTGATTGTTGATTGATGATTGATGATTGATGAGTGATGATTGATGATTGATGATGATTGATGAATAATGAATGATGATCGATGATTGATAAATTTCTGTTGAGTGATTATGGCTTGTGATATACATGTTATGTGATGACGTTTCTTAATGGATTTATTGGATCGTTAGAATGAGTTGAACTGTCGATACTAATTAAATTTTGGCCTGACGTTTGGAAAGATGGAAAAAGTAAAGAATTGAGTTAGGAACTATGATGTGACCTCAGACTGTGCTAAAAAAATATTTTTTAAAGTGAGTTTTGAGACCATGGTACGGCGGCGATCCGTATGTGATGGTATGATAACAACCCGGGCATGGCAGCGATCCATGTGGAGTGATAACCCCGACTACGACGGCGATCCGTAGAGGGTTATTGCTATTGGTTGAATTTTGAGGCCATGGTGCGACAACGATCCGTATGTGATGGCATAACGACCCGGGCATAGCAGCGATCCATGTGGAGTGGTAACCCCGACTACGGCGGCGATCCGTAGAGGGTTATTACTATTGATCGTGTTTTGATAACTCCGACTACGGCGGCTATCTGTAGAGGGTTATAATGATATTTTTTGGTTTTGTCTTATAAAAAGAGTTTTAAGCTAAGTCTGGGGGTACTGAATGGTCCTAGAGTATGGACTCGTTTTAAAGAATCGATTAAAGAATAGTCAGTAGAGGAACGTGAACTAATAGATTGAGTTTTGCTTGAGTTCAATGTTGATTGAATTTGTTTTCTATTTGATTGTCTATGTTGGGTACGGAGGCGAGGTTTATAGTCTTGCAACTTCACTGTATAACGAACGAAAATTTAAAAAAAAAATGAATGAATTGGGGTAAGGTGATAAAATTAAAAGTTCTGGAAAAATCTGTTATTTCAGTTAGGGTCTTTTAGAACGAAATAAAAGTTTGGGCAGAATTCGAAAATTTCAGAAAATATGGGATTGGACTGCAATTTTTGCTAGGGTTTCTTCTTCTTCTTCTTTTTCCTCCTCCCATGGCCGACCCTAACACCATTGTTGCCTATCTTCCACTCCGATTTGCCTCCTTGCTCGTCGTCGACCATCGATCACCGCCCCGTGGCCACCGCTTCATCACCGTCGGTCCGTTTCTCCATCTTTTCTTAGTTTTTCTTCATCGTTTTCCTTCTCCTTTACCACCATGGAGTTTTTCCGATTTTCGGCGAACGTAAGCTCGGTTTGGGTTGAGACTTGAAGGGTTTGAAAGCACTTGACGAGTTGAATCTTTTCTGGGTGGTGTCGT